GGGGGGGGGGGGTTTTGTTAGCTGAAAGAAAAGTACTAGGATTTTATTGGAGAGCAGGGGGGAAGATTTGTATCTCAGATTCATTCCACACTAGATATTTATTACAAAGCAAATATCATCTGATTTAGTTCATATCAAGGTATAACATTTTCCAGATGTAACTCTTATTTTATGATATAAAAATAAAGAATGGCTCAAATATTTGAGTTATTCATTTATAATTGTGAGAAATTGAATTTAGTTGTGTTTGTTTTTTCTTTTTGAGTCCAATTTGAAGGTCCAAAAAAATGAATTTTTGATGTTAAGGACATTCTTTAAGATTCCAACCTCTCCAATTCCCCAATATGTTTTGGGGTAACTCATTTGATTTGTTTTGATCACTAACTGCTGCATATTTTGTTCTGCATTCACCAATGTTGGTCATATTTCATTTGCAGAACAATGTTCTCTATGAACATTGTTCCTTATCTACTTTCTGACATTCAGTGATTTAGTTATGTTCGTTCTCTACACTACTAGCTGTTTAGGTCAATTACACTTTTACTACAAAGAGCATAGCTACCTTGCTCTGTTGTTGAAATGAAGGACTTCAGCAACTCCTTAAAAAAGGTTTATTCGGCACAGAGATGCCGGATTACTGCCTCACTTCATAGCAATATTTGCCTCTTTCAGTTGGCTTTGCAACATCAGAATCTATTAGCTGCTGATACTGCTAAAAGTCTAATTGCTTTCATGCAGATCTACATTTTGGAGATGTCTCAGCTTTAGCTTGTTTTCTAATCATGTGCTCCTGCCATTATATGCTGTAATTGTATTGACGTTAACTGCTAATGAAAGCATCAAACTGAGCTGAGGTCATTTTCTTTTAGTTGTTATTCAATTGCTGATCTGAGGACAGGGAGCTGTGGTGGAATGTAACTAAGTACATTTACTAAAGTACTTAACTAGATTGTTACCATGACATTTTATACTTTTACTACTATATCAAATATACATGTATGACAATTTCCATTATAGTTTGGGGAATTTATTTGTAATACATTTGTTCCAAAACAACACAATAAAAAAGTCAATTTTAAAACAGCAATAATAGAATTGGTGTAATCTAAATGGGCGTTTGAATACTTTTGACTTCTGATATCTAATTTAAAAGACTCTCGTAACTCGTACTAAAAAAGACATGCTGTCTCATTGCTACTTTTACTTCAGAAAACGCCCTTAACATTTCTTCCACCACTAGTGAGGCAAGCAACACCATGATCAGACACTTTGTAAAGGGCTATTTTGGTGAGTTACTCAATATCTGACACGGACAGTGGCTTAACCTGAAAAAAGGAACACCGCAACAACAATGAGCACACATAACCTCACACTGGCCTCTCCAGCAGCATGGGAGACTTTGTTACCTCTGACACTGAGGTCGTATGGATCTTACCGAGAAGTGTGATGATGCAGCCCAGAATAGCCACGAGGGCCCCGGTGCTCAGGCCGGTCGCAGTGTAGGCCACGGCTCCACAAGACAGGGCCACGCCGTCCGAGTCACAGTCACACACTCGCACTGAGAGTGTGTTTGTGCTGCTCAGGGTGGGACTTCCACTGTCCACAATCAACACCGGCAGCCGATAGACAGGCTGCTCCCGCCTCCTGAAACCACTCCTCTTCGTCAGTATGGAAGCTGTGTTGTCTGCAGAGAAGACGGAACAACATACATCGGTCAGACTCCAAAAGAAATACCTCTAGCTATTTGTAATTTGCATGTTTATTGGCTTCCAATGAACAATGAAATGCTCATACATGACTTGCAAGAGGCTTCACTAAATTATGTGATGATTGCGGTGCTTTGGTTATGCAGTTTGAAATGATTTGACTGTATTAAAAGCAGGAATGCCAACAGATGGTGTCATTAACACGATTCATTATATGACACACTGTGGCGTCTCTCCCTGGTTTTGGCCACCTGTTGGCTAATAACAGTTTTGGTTTAATGCTAATAATCGTATATAAAATCTTAGAGTATTAGAGAGAAAGAGGCAGCAAGAGAAGGGAAAACATGTCATTACACCAGCTAGAAAACAAAACATTTTAATAATGAAAACACTGAATACTCTTTCAAGTTGAGCACAAATTGTCACATTAGTGAAGAAAAACAGATGTGTCTAAAACAAAACACTTTTGTTGTTACATAAATATATCCAACGGTGAAACATGTGGTCTTTAAATGAAATATTCAGCTACAGTACAAAAATGTTCCCTTGTGTCACAGCTGAACAGTGTTAGAAGTTCTTCATTGACAGATTTGAGAGTGCAAGAATAATAATAATAATAAATTATATTTCTATAGCGCTTTTCTTGAACCCAGAGACGCTGTTATTTGTGATAACTGTTCTTATTCAAATCTGCCAGAAAGAAAATGAGCACAGTTCCAAAAAAGTTAACTTTGCTATAACTCTTGGTTATTTGCCTTAACCACAATCTCTCTTGGAAAAAACGGTTTTCCAGCCAAGTTGTTCTTAGTCTGCTGAGAGGTTAGTGTTAAACATCCAGTTCATCATATAACACACAAACACAGCACTGACATCGATCACTACCTGCTTCCTTTGTGGAGCTCCAACAAAACACTCATCACGGGGCATTTACCTCAGCGAGTGTTTCAGCTCTGTATGTTCTTTAAAGCAGAGGGAGGCCAGCGTAATTCTTATGCTCTCGAGGTACGCAAAGTTCTCCTATATGAGAAGCTCATTTCCTTCATCCGCCGACCGCTTTGCGTGTAGGTGGTGAGCAAATCATTATGGTACAAATCATCAGAAATGTTGTCTTTGCATTTGATGAACAATTACAAAATAAGGGTAGTAAGGGCATTGTCATTGGAGAATGATGGTTTCATTTGGCACAGCCAGGCTCACCTGGGGGGCACCAGTTACTCTGAACTTGGTCTCCTGAGTCAGATTGCAGAGCAGATTGTGTCTCTGCGCAGGGCAGATATAGAGAGCCGAAGTGAGCAATGGCCAAAGTGTCAATTGCATTGCTGCCAGGCTCAATTCGAAAGTAAGTAAGCAGCAAATAGACCGTACCGTACTTGACCAACAGCCTTTACAGACTCAAAGGCGCCCCTGGCAATTTTCTCTAGGGAGGTTTTGCTTTAGCAGCTTAATGCAGCAGGGTTGATCTCACACGTGGAGCTTTCACAAGGACATAGACATTTAGTACAAGTTCAAATTGGTGACTTACTTCTGCAGCGAAATGGAATAAAGATTCTGTAAGACCAAATAGCAATTGCAATGTATCTGCGATAGTATGAGTGTTTGATGGAGCACACAAAAAAATCTTATTCTTTCAGTACTTCCCAGAAGTTTACACCAACATTTTTCTGATTTGAATCACTCCTCTATTTCATATTGTCCATTAAAAGATCCCATGCTAATGAGCTTTTAATAAAAGTGATTGGGGACTCAAATCCACAGTCTTCATTTTGTGCAAAAGTGTTTTCAAAAGACAAGTACAAACACGGTTTGTTTGGAATATATTGACTTGATTTGTCTAACTGCTGGAGGCTTCATATTATAGATTGGAAAAAAACAAACTATTGCCAACAGCATGGTAGAAATAATGAATATCGTCTGAAGTCTTCTTTTTGCCTCGAATCGTTTCCATATTACCTGGACTTTCCGATTTCTCTGTTTACAGGCAACATTAAGGAATATCAAAATGGCGGTTGCACCTTTGTTATCTCGCAGAGTGAAGTTGGGGTTTCCGGCAACAGGGGCAGCGAGGGCGAAATAAAAGCGATGGCCGCTCAGAGGTTCGTCTCTATCCACGGCACTGATGGTCTGGATCACCTGAGGACAACAACAACAACAACAACAACAACAAGACATTCGAGATTAGTTACATGGCCGAGATTTATCCCATCTCACTGGCTGATGAGGTGTTAACTGAAGCATTAATGAGAAGTGTAAGGAAAACATTGTATTTGCATCACTTTTCACTTACATTTATTTAAAAGGCAGCATCAATCTCTTTTAAAAGGCAAAGCAGAGTGTGAGTGAGCTGAAGGAAATGAGCTTGATTCTGATTGAAAGATTTGTTTTATAATGTTTGGCTGTTGTGTCGTTTATCTCTTCGAGTACAGTAAGTGCATATCTGGCAAAGGGCTTGGCAACCTCTTAGGATGAAGTGTATTTTCTTTTCGGAAGTGATTTCTTCCGAAGCAAATCATTGTCAGGCGACTACTTTCTCTGTCCCAGCAACTAGACCATAACATCCATTTAGTGAAATAATGGCCCGACACAAAAAAACAACAAAAATGGATTTTCTGTTGCCTACATTTTTCCTGTGGGCATTAACAACAACAAACTAATGTTTTATTTGTTCCACTGACCACACCGTTTTTTTTTTATGAATACCATGATGAAATGGTATTGATGTCTGATTAAGGTAAAAAATAAAGATATAAAAGTGAGATTTTCTTGTTACTCATCTCTGTTTGAGAGCATTGGGCTTTGGCTCTTATAAAAAAACAGAGCCATTGAAATGAAATTGAAATTGAAATGAAGCCATTTTAAATGAAACATAAACATTCAGCACTTTTTATCAACAAATAAATAAAATAGTAATTTTTATAAACATAGATGTTTTTCCCTTTACACTTCAATTATCTTCAAAACTGAAATATTACCAATGTTATGTTTTTAGTCAATATTACCCTGGATTCACCTCATACAGTAATTATCATACAAACTATAATGTGTAATTATAAAAACCTTGTATTATATGCTAATTATCAGGTTATTTTCAGAAATGTCAGTAATGCCACCCTCACCATAGAAACAACCAATCTCTACTTCTGCTTTGAAAAGTATTATAAAAGTAATTAGAATCGTTCAATAACATCATCTTGTTCAATCAATCCTGCGCACAGGTAATTATTATTCTATTTACTTTTCAACACATTTTCCAAGTGCTAGAAATGTTCATTTATGGTGGTTACCTTTCTAACAAAAAAATAGGGCTCAACATTGTATTCAAGGGGACAATGAAAGGGTTAATGAACATCACAAAAGGAATCTAATATCTAAAGCACATGGCATTGACCAACATATCATTAAAAAAAATGCTATGAGAGGTCATTCCTCTGACTCTTGTTGATGTTCAAAATAAATGTGTATTCTATGCAGTCGGGCATTTCTACTTCATTATTACAAGTTGGAAAATGACTCATGATAAGAACTGCTCTTGCCCGAGGCGATGCCAGACAAGCATTCATAACTGTGAGTTAAACAAGTGAACGCCATTTATTCCGTCCCACTTTATTCTGCCTCTGAACTCAGGACTAAACAGCATCTTCCTCACTTTATTATACAGCCCTGTTGACAACTATAAATAATGCAGGAAATCAAATTACAAAATAAACCAATCTATTTACACCCACCAGCATGTGTGCTGTAATGACTTTTTTATTCAAACAAACAGAAAATCAAGTTATCTCTTTTTAGCCAAAGAAAAAAAAAACACTAAGCTTTAATGTCTTCTAGGCAGCAGCACTTAGATTCAGTAAGAAGGGAGAGAAAAAGGAACATTTCACTGGGTACATGCTGTTCAGGAGGAGCATATCACACACAAACATGCCATGTGGACGACAAATGATAGCCACCAAGACGGCCATCAAAGTGGGAGTTACTGCATCAGTGTCCTTATACATTTAGATCAAGCCTCCTGAATCCTTTGTAGGCAATCTAGAAACGCAACCCTGTGACAACTCACACTCACACCCATGGACGGGTTCCAAGAGATTCTTTAAAGCAATTCACACTAAATTATCACATCTCACAGCCCCAAACTGCTCCGCGTCAAACATCAAGACATGAACAGAATTATAGAAAAAATAAATAAAGAAAATGTGGCGAGGAAGAAGAAAAAGTAAATGATCCATCAGCGCTGAGACGTGGATTATCAGCAGTGATGAAATGCTTCTGGTTACAAGCTGTCAGGTATTAGGGGTTAGTGTAGGTGGTAAACGCCATCCTGCCAATTATTAAAACTGGCAAGCGGGGGGGGGAATTCATGAATATGTTACTGTGTTTCTTAACTAAATTACAAATATTTGCTCTTTCATCAGCAAAAGTAATCACAAAGTAAGCTTTTTCTTTCTGTTTACTGTTTGGTATTGCGGCACAAGGAGATTTTATATGTGGAGCAGGAATGCAAAGAGGTTATCTGGATAAATCTAGATGTAATTTAATATTAGAATGGCATAAACATTTAAAAGTACCATTACACATTTGAGCAGGGACGCTTAACAAACTGCTATTGTGTTTTGAGTGTAACTGTTGTTTTGAAGTGATACATTTTATGTAGTTTTATATAATAAAAAAAGGCGGTGGGTATTAAAACAACTGAAATATGTCTGTAGACCAACTAGTCAGTTGATCAGATATGTCCTTACTAAAACGTTTTAAAAAAGAGTCTCAGATGCTCTATGAGCTTCACATTTCTCTAGTCTTTAATCTAGCAATACGGAGTCTGCATTTTGTGATTGAAGACTTCCGTTTAAGTACGTTTTTTTGGTACCACTTTACAATAAGACTACCCTTATAAAGGGTTTACGAATAGTTTGTCATTCATTTATTAATTAGGTTGTGAACACTTTACAAATAATTAATAAGCTTTTATTAAATCCTAAAAACTTAGATCTTATATTTAATACTTTATCCAAAACCTTTCCCCTCTCTGACGTCTTGAGGTTCTATTAGAGGGTAACAGGTCGCAGAGAGGCCTATCCCGGCCTTGGAGTGTGGAACGTAGTCACAGACCTACTCCTTACCTCTAACTAATTCCAATTCAGGTTCCAGTGGGGACCTTTCTCCCTGCGTGTGCCTCTCCACCTCTGCTTCTTACTTCTTACTTGCTACCCTTTTCCCTCAACCTATCCTAAGGGAGTGCATGTACAGTATGTAGACACGTTAGTTTAGCTGCTATAGGCTTGGACTGTTGGGGGGGGGCACCTTACTCCGTCTTTCTGGCTGTTTGTACCTGTGTACTCTCATTTTCCGATTAACCCAGCTTCCCCCAAATCTCTTTTTTGTGTCCATATCTACGCCGGGATCCTGAGTCGAGGCTAATCCTGTTGCTGCGGTCCTGCATCCTGGATCCTCTATCCTGAGTTCTAGATCCTGTGTCCTGGACTTTGAGTCGTGGCTGAACCTATCACTGTGGTCCTGCCTGACTCTCATCATACTACTTCCCTGATGGCTCCCAAAGGATTGTTGACATCCTCGTGGATTCATCTTCTTATTACACACACATGCATTTCCAAACATTCGGTCTACCTACGCTGTAAAATGTTTTATCTCTTCGATTTACACACGGCATCTATTGCACGTCTGTCCGTCCTGGGAGAGGGATCCCTCCTCTGTTGCTCTCCCTGAGGTTTCTCCCATGTTCCCCTTTAAACTGTGGGTTTTCTCTGGAAGTGTTATATATAGTATAGTATAACATTTGTGATTTTGGGCTATATAAATAAACATTGATTGATTGATTGATTGATTGATTGATTGATTGATTGATTGATTGATTGATTGATTGATTGATTATAAGACATGAGATAAACAGGGCACCTGTGACCGGTTGCTTGCCAAATAGTGAGCCCACATTTATCTGTACTGCTAAGCCTTATTAGAAATGGTAGTAACTCATTAATAAATGGGAATGTGTTTTGCACTTTACAATAAGGCTACCTTTTGGCAGTTATACATGTTAGTAAAATAAATGGTTCTTAATGATTAATAAAGTTTTTACAACCTAATTAATAACCTAATTATAAACCCTTTCTGAGGGTAGTCTTATTGTAAAGTGGTACCGCTTTTTCTTTCTGTTTACTACTTGGTATTGCAGCACAAGGGGGATTAATATGTGGAGCAGGAATGCAAAGAGGTTATCTGCTCTGGTTCAGGAACATTTGGGATATCTGTGTGTACAGACAGAAATGATGTTTGTGTCAGCATCACATCGGCAACACCAACACCGAGCACCTGAACACGCTCGGCTTCATATCATGAAAGCTGCCATTGATTCTGGGATCATAATAACTCATATGCCTCTCATTCTGTTATGGAAATCTCACATCTGATAGAAACCTTTCTTTGTGGTTCCGACGATGAATCCTATACACAATCTGAACCCTTTGATGTCCTTTGAATATCGCAGATAGATTCGGAGCTTATCTCTAGGAAGGTTTCCATTCCCTCTCTGCTGAGGGAGAGGACTGTAAATCATCCTCAAATCAAACACTTTGTAATGTATAATGCCTTTCATTAGTGTGGCTCTGATGCAAGGCCTTCCTGAGAACCTTTGCCGGGGAATTCTCTAATGGGTTGAGAAGCAGACAGGAGGAGAGAGGCAGAGAAGTACACATAAATTCTGCCTGAAAGACATTAACGGCAGCAGCAGACTGGTGCCTGTCGCAAGGCAAGACTGAGGAGGCCTATGAATCACAGAATTAAAGGTTTTTGGAGTTTACACATGGCTGCGCGTCAGATCAAAAAGGATATAAAAGGACAAAGGTGTCTCTGTGTGTGGCTTCGGAGGCGGAGGAGGCGGAGAATGTGCAAACAACAGAGGCATGCTCGCACATTTCCATACACGTTCATCTGTCCTGCAGAGACTGTCAGCTTGCAGTGACTGGCGGTGCATTTGTAATTATAATCTTAAGAATTAGATGCATCTGCTGTGTATGGAAATCAGTACATTTAAAATACTGATAACTGTTTGGGTCATAAATAGTGTCTTAAAACAGCTTTTCCCAACGTTTTTGACCTGTGTAGTTGATTTTTTATTTGAT